TTATTTTAAATGTACAAAATTCAAATCTCCAACAGAATCTGATTCTGACTCTTTGTTAAATACCTCTACAGGAGTTCCTGATTTTCTTGAAACTGTACAAATCATGTCAGCAATGTGATTTACAAACCTGGGCTTGAGATATGGTTATTATTTTCATAATTTTTTGATTTAATGTGTTTGCTATTAAAAATATCCTATTTTATAGCACTATTTATGTTCTACACATTGCTTTCTAAATATTCAGACCAACCTTTATCGTTTTTTGGAGTTATCTTTTTGTTCAACATTCTTGCCCCTGTCTCATTTGGACCATGTTTCCTGCGCCAGTTCATCTCAGTTTCTCCCCTCCAAGCCGTCAACAACTCTACAACTTTTGTTTTTGTTTTTGACATGCGTTTAATCAGACTATTGCCTGTAACCCTTCCACTGCCCACCAGATAAAGGCCAGCTCCTTGTCATGGCCTTGATTCAAAGTCCTTGGTCCCAATTGCGTTTTCATCCTAATCTCTAGTCACATTGGACCACCCCCCCTTCCTGTCTCACACTCAGCTCTTCCCTGCCTTTGAGTGCTATTTCTGTAACCTAGCGTGGTGCCATTCTCTTCTCCCTGGCCAGCCCTTCCTTGTTTTTTAACCATCGCTGACCACCACCTAGGGCACATGTACCTGTGAACTGAAAACCTAGTTACTGCTCACTCTGTGTCCCTAGAGTCCTTTTTTTTTTTTTTTTAAACAGCCTTCAGCCACAGCATTCAGTACAGTATATGCTCTTGTCTCCTTTTGCACAGGGACTAAAGAAATGCACACATATGGTTCACTCTCATATATTGTCTGCTTACTAGGTGTTACTTTACCCTTTTCCTGTCCCATTCAGAAAAGTGTGTCTGAATTCAAGTAAGTGAAAGTGTGGTTGTTACTCCGCATAATCTTGGATTTACTTAGCCTATTTTTTTTAAAGGACCTAATTTGCAACCTACCAAACCTTAATAAACTCTGTACCTTTTACTAAATATTCTCTCTGACTAGTTACATCATACCTTTTATCTGATGATGACGAATTAACATGTTCTAGATGGAAAGGTACTTAAAATGCAGTATCCTAAAGACAGTGATATGGCTATTTGTTCCTTCGACTACTTCTTGGCAGCATAGCTACTTAATAAACTTTGAAAACATTGCCAGGGAAGACTCGCACCCAGTTCTTGGTTCGTGCATTGGAGATACTACAGCACAGTAACAACGTTTCACACTGATTTTTTTCCTAACGAGGCTGACATTGCTTTGTTCATTTTATGTTCCTTTTCACTATTCTGATTTTTCCCCCCTTAGCAGTGTATCCATCATGTTAGATATAAGAACCTTGTAAACCTATGATGTGATTTTGTTGACCTGTTGTCATTTTAGTAAGCTCTTTGTAATATGCATGAAGTTTGTGACTTAACCAGCTATGGCTTAGTCCTTAAAAAAAAAAAAAAAAAATTCTAGAGATTAATGTGGATGGAAATGTTTCCTTATTCTTAACCTCTCACTGTGCTACAAATCGAAAAGATAGCAAATAGAGCTTTAAGTTTTACATTCACTACACTAAAATATGGTCAAAAAAAAAAAATTGACCCAAATTCTTTAATCAGTGTCACGGGAGGTTTGATTTTGAGAACTAATAGCTGCCCCATCCTTTGTGATTGCTTGCTTACGTAATTTGTTATGAAAGAATGCTTCTAGGTAAACTGTCTCTCCAGAAAGCCTGTGATTTGTTCTGTTCTGCTTAGGAAGGGTTAAGAGGAGACAACATCCTGTCAAAGACCTTGTTTTTAATTTTGCCTCTCACACTGGCACAGATCCTGCTAAGAGCAGCCCAGATTAGTTCGGAAAACCTTTGAAGAGATTTAAGATGTCCTTCAGCTAGTTTGAAGGTTTTTGTCTTGCAAATCCAGTACAAGGGCGCCTGCAGGCATCTCGACCCTTGCTGTGCTGCTGATGCAGCTCAAGGTCACACTAACCCGCCCTGTGACATTCAACAACAAAAAAAAAATTATGCGGTGAAACTGCTTCAGCGTTTAGCCAACCAACAACTTCCTTTAGTGAGGAACTGAGGAAGAAGTCTTTTTTTCCCCTCTTTTTCTTTTTTTGGGGGGGGACTCTGAATTTTTTGCTGTAGGAAATAATCCCGGATTTATGGTGTGTGTGATGACAAGGTCATTTCTTAATTAGAACACATGTAAAGAACAAAGCTAAATGGCTTCAAAACAGCTTTGTAGTTGATGGAGAGGATTTAAATTATTTAAAGAGATAGTCACCCATGTATGATGGAAGCTGAATTCTAAAGGCATTAACTCCTTCTTTCCGGTCTACTTGCCATTTCTTTCTTTGAATTCTTACGTCTGACTTTAGAAGGTTGAATTCTAAACTAAAGAAAATTTATAAATGCCCATTTTTTCACAATGTGAAACATAATTTATGAATCAAATTCTTGGATAAACTTTTAATGGAGAAGTTTTCTTCCCACGACAATTCTCTCCTAGAAACTTCATCAAATGACTTGATGTAGGAGCTAGGAATTATGAACTTTTCCCTCTGGCAATTGTGATTTATTTCTAATGTGTTGGAGGGGGATGAGTGAAGTGCTTTTTATTGCCTCCCCTTGTCTTCCTCACTCTTACCCATTTGTGATGTAGAATTCTAGTTGAGCAATTTATCCCTGCTTCTTTACAAATTATAGTACCTATCATTCAGGTTTCTCAACTTTCAAAGAATCAGCGTGGGAAGATACATGCTTTTTTCCAAGGAAAATAAGGAGCGTTAGTTTAAAATGGACTTTAAGAAAGTTGTTTCTGAACATATGTAACTTTTTCAGGGCACGAGGAAACCGTGTCCATAAACGTTAAGCCATGTTGGATTCCCTCTCCTTTGTGGGCCATGTTTGCCCATTTTTGTTCCTTTTCTGCTGCCTCCCAGTGCTAACTACCAAAGACATCCGTTGGATACAGTCCAAGTGGATTGGCTTTCTATGCTTGAGACTCAATGCGTATCACCTCTGCAGGAGCAAAATAATCTGAGTAGTTTAATGTAGTTGTTTTTTTAAAAATATATATCATATAGAGAAGCACGCATTGCAGTTATTTCTTTATACACAGAATCACACTGTGCAGAGAAATTTAACATCAACATAATGATATCAGCCTAACAGTTTTCCCAGAATTCATACCCAGTTGCTTTCGGAGAGGTATTTCCCAGTAAGTGTGATTAAAGTAGCATCGGGGCAAGTACTTTATGAAGATGGATAATATTTGAGGTGTGATTATTTGAACTGGTATTTTCGATTCCGTGGGCCACACTTAAATGTAAGTGTGAGGGGATAGCATGATAGATTGTATAAGAGCAATTTAGAGTTAACCAGACTTACTGTTCTGAAGGATTTTCTTCTAGTCAAGAAATAGTTTATTTGGGTCTTCCAAGAAAAGTAAAAAGGTATGTATACTGTTAGGTAATGAGCATTTTAAAGGATTTGAGGCTTATAAAAAAGAAAATGCCAGAGGGAAAATCTACATGCAAGAAAATGCTTAGCGTGACTCTGTACATTCCCTGCCCTTGCCTGGGGTCTGGTATGCCCTTATGTCATGTATGACCCAGGCTCACCTGCTAGTAATTTCTAATTCACTGTCCTAATTCATCGATTTGTTATCACTAATTGTTCTTCATTTACTTCTGTGTAGTTTCCAGTACCTAAAGGGTTGAAAGGTTGCTGTAATTGGCACCCGCAGCTGCTCTTTCTTTTGACAGGGGATAATTTTGCAGCCTATGCTTTGTGTGACAGCTGCCTAATTGGGCATTCTCCCCTTGTAGCAAGCCTGCCTCCTCCAGCCTCCCTGCTGACAAATGGTGGTGGATTATAGATGAGGACACGCTGACCCATTCGACCTTGCTGAGACAGCGGGGAGGGGCCTCCTGCTACTTGAGGGAAGCTTTAGGTCATTTAGAGGACAAGGTCATGAGCCAGGTGGGGAAATGACATGATATCACATGACAGTAGCCTGATGACACGGTCAGTGTGTCAAGGACAAATGCATCAGTATCGATTAAACATTATTGCAATACTTCATTGAAGGCCCCAGTATTTCCTAATTGTTCCTGCTGCATTTTTTTTTTTTTGAAGAAAAGGGAAGAGTGCAGAATAAGACACATGTTTTTTTATCAGTGTTAAAGCATTTGTGTACATGAAAATAGAGCTGGTTTAGGAAGCCTCCTTTTAAGTTTCTTTGATTATGTAGAGTGTTTTGTTCTTAATTGTTTCTTAGTTTGCAGACCCTTGACTATCAGTACTTTTTAGAGTTATTTGAAAATTAAGGCAAGCAAATGAAAATGAGGTAATATGTGTTGTTAAAACATATTTAACAACTTCTGTCATCACCCTACTCAATGATTGGCATACCTTTTAACATTTTGGATAAGAGAAGAAGCCAAGTGAAAATCCTTCATAGAGAGGAACCTCAGCATTGTGGATTTATGAGATCAAAATTACCACTATGCTACCATAATTATAAAGTGTTTAAGATGTTTTTTTAAGTAACATTTTAAGACCTGGAAATATTTTTTAAATAGGTTGGGGTTATACCTAGTATAAAAACTTTAAGATAAATGAAAATCTTCCAGACATCTTTTCATTATTGGTAATGTGCATCGTTTTCTTGAAGAAGTGGACTTGAGCTATTTTATTACCTTCTTAAGTTTAAAATTTAAAGAATCTTTGCTGTGTCTGTTAACCCTATGTTAATACCTGAAAGTATAAGTCTATGTACACTGTATTGGATAGTCCAATTTAGAAAAATGCCATGTTTAAAAAACTGAATACTGTCATGCAGAGAATACTGATCATGATCCTCATCTCTGGAAAATCATAATTATTGTTGGGTACTGTTGGATCTAAGCCCCCAGTCCAACAGGAGGTGATTTTATGCTCTGAAATTAAAAAAAAAAAAAAAAAAAAAAGAAAGAAAGAAAGAAAGTATTAGTGGTAAAGTGTGATGAATTAGTTCACCGAAGTAGACACATCTGTATTTTTGTGGCATGTGCATGGTGTGTGTGTGTGTGTGTGTGTGCGTGCGTGCGTATGTGTGTTTAATTTTGACCGTGCTGTGCATGTGTTAGCTGCTCTCAAGCCCTGACTCAAGCTTGGTGGAGGTTTAATCCTGTGCCCTTGTACACGTAGACTTGATTAGTAGTTGTGGTTATCTCAGCAGAAGACATACCGCCCTCCTCCTAGTATTGGTCGGGACCTGGGCATTGGGGAGTCAAGGCAAAGGAGAAAGAAAAGAGATTTTACATTAGTATTCTATGAAAGCCTTACTGTCTGCAGAACAAATTGATTGCTCCGGTGTACCTGTGCTTGGCACCACTGCTGTGAAAGAAAGGTAGGGTTGTAATCTGTTTTATTGTATTACATATTGTGACACTCCAGGAATATTTAACATGCGCTCTTTCTATGGCACGTGCTTGAAGTCTAAGTAAAGAGAAAGGAAATAAATGAATGGAAAGTATGCAAGAGCAGTGGGCTACAGCTTTGTTTACTTCAATCCATGAGAGTTCATTCGAATAAGATAATTTTGCTGAAAGCGTCACCGGGAACATAACCTGATTGATAACGAAACCCTGTAAAGTGTTCTGAGGCACTAATCTGCTTCACTGCTTGAAACGTGTCAGACGGAGATGAAATTCAAGCTAATATTGTGAGGATTTTAAGCACAAAATGAGTGGGAGAAGTCATGGAGGACCTAGTTGGTTTAGGAAATGATTTTTAATTATGTTTCAGGGTATTACATTGTTAAAGGTCCTACCTAATGTGGTACAGAGAATGAGAAAAATAGATTTTCAATTAAAAAAAAAAGAAAGAAAAGAAAAAGAGGTAGCCACTATACTACATTAAACTATATTAAGGAAATTAAGAAATGTGTTATTTACTTTATTCTTTTACTAGTTTCATTCATTTGCATAAACACTGTACTGTTTGATTCTGTTTTGGGAAATTGAAACAGTTTTTCTAGTTTGTTTTTTTTTTTTTTTGGTTTTTATTTCTGGGAATGTTTTTCAGAGAGAGACTTAACAGTATAAAATTCAGGATTGCTCAGTATGAGTTAAATAAATGTTTTAATATTTCACAAAACGGTTGAAATATCTGTGATTGGGATTTGACCCCTTGCCATTTTCAGGCATTCTTGAAATGTTGTAGCTGCACTTTTGAGGTTACATATAAATCTGTACTGTGAAAGGGAGAGGAGATATTCCTCTTGTCCAAGCCCCTTGCCACATTGAACTGCAGGTGCCCTTTGCCTCCTCTGTCCCCATCCTGATCCTTTGATTATAATCGGAACACTTGATTTAGGAAAGAGAGGAAGCAGAATAGCTCACTGATGGAATTAAAGTTGTTTTCCATTGTTTACTTTAACAATGAAATTAGTATATAGCTTTACAGGTTTTACATTACATTTCGCTTCTGTAAATATGTGAGTAATTGTTGTGTATATACTAACTTTATCTCACAAAAACATCCTGATACAGAAGATCAGTGTAATCAGAGGTCATGGACATTGGTTTAGACTTGCTCCCCGATACTTTTATAGAAAATGAGTGAATGGAGAAACATGTATTTTAAGCATCTGTTAAATAACAAATACAAATGTACCAGTTCCTGATATGATTAAAATTTAAGGTTATATTATCTCTAAAGGGAAGGGATGTTTTCAGAGAACTTTTAAACTTGATGGCAAAATGAAGACTATTAGGTAGGTTTTCAGTTGAATGTAAGTCATCAAAATGATTAGTACTGTACTCTTATACACTAAGTTTTGTGGGTTTTTTTCTTATTGAAAAAATGTAAATTGAGATAATGTAAAGGAAAAATAAACCATAGAACTAAGAGCCAGAATATTTTCATTTCTAGAATAAAACATATTTTGAACTTCTTCTACTTTTAATTTTAGTTTTTAGTTTTGTAATTGCTTTTCAAACTTTGAACATTTTGGACTCTTTTACCTTTTTAAAAGAAATGAATGATATGCATATATATAATCTTCAGCCAACTCAGAATGGGAACACAGAGGAGAGAATACCAAGTAAAAGAAATTTATATTTATGTTTTCTTGTTGTTGTCTTTTTTTTTTTTTTTTTTTTTTTTTTTTTTTGTGGAGAGGGAGGTTGCTTTTTGTTTACCAAAGTACCCACAATTCTTACTGTACCTGGCACATAATAACTGCTCAGTAAATATTTCTTGGTCAAATGAATAAACAGCACTCAACCAACACCCCTTGCCCCCCATACACACACACTTGTTTTTTTCCTCTGGTCTATTTACAGTTTCAGTTTTTGCTGTGCTGATGGTAGTGAGTTTTTAGCGTCAGCTTCTCTTCTTTTTTTTTTTTTTTTTAATTTTTTTTTTTTTCAAAGTTTATTTATTTTTGGGACAGAGAGAGACAGAGCATGAACGGGGGAGGGGCAGAGAGAGAGGGAGACACAGAATCGGAAACAGGCTCCAGGCTCTGAGCCATCAGCCCAGAGCCCGACGCGGGGCTCGAACTCACGGACCGCGAGATTGTGACCTGGCTGAAGTCAGACGCTTAACCGACTGCGCCACCCAGGCGCCCCAACTTCTCTTCTGAAAATACTCTGTGTGTTGAAGGAATAGAGATTTATAGCTTTAGAACTAACCTAGGGACCATGTTTATAGAATTGTTTTACAGTTAGAGTAATTCACTGTGCCTCACATCGTTCTTCCTCTGAACATTAGATGAGCACGTACGAATATATGAGTTCCTCACTTCAGATCGACTCATCTTTTTTCCTCCTATACTGGTCTATGATAAGACATTTTCTAAAGCTATGAAATCTGTTTCTTATTTAGATTCTTTTTGCGAATCTAGGCACATTATGCTTATCAACCAACACCAACACGTTACATTGAACATCCAAGAAAACTGCATGTTCACTTTAGTGTTCACTTTAGTCAGAGATACCTAAGCACACTAAATATATGACAAAAACAATGTTTAGCATGTTATCATGACTATTAATTTAGGCCATGAAATGAAAGTCATTCATGAGGACAACTTGAAATATGTGGGTGACAATTCTCTAAGCTCAGTTAATGAGCAAAAGTTTTTATTTGGTGTCCAGCATTAGCTAGGCTGGGACCAGAGTTTTTGCATGGTAGCAACCTCAGAAAGCAGTTAATATAGAGTATGTTTAACAAATGAGAAATCTTATAGCCACAGTAAAATTTAATTCATTCCCAAATAGGATGTATATTAAAGCAAACTGATGTTACATCATTTTATATACACACAATTATGGATTGGTCCCCATGAATGTGGACCCAGTATATTTTTATACTGGAAAGAATGACAAAATACTGAGTATCACTAAGAAAGATATTAAAAACTAAAGAAAAATCTTTATATAAAATTATAGTGTTTGTATTAGTGTAAATATGTGAATGGTGCAATCACAAACGCATTATGGTCTATTGATATTTAATATTTTATGGCAGTGTTTTCTTTAATAATAATGTAGTAATTGCTGAGCAGAGAAAGAGGACAGCTAGCATAGACTCTTCTTGGGAAGGAACCTCCAAGAGGGGATACTAGCCAGGCATGGCCTCTTTGAAGCATAATTAAATGCTGAATTGCCAAATTCGAGAAATATTCTGATTCAGATTGTCTTCAGAAAGATTAGACTCCTGGGGATGGAGTTGGGGTTTGTGGATGGGTCCGAGCATGTCAGATGGGTATCCAAGTTAAAGACGGTCTGTCCAAAAATCAGTGCCTGACAAGAGTAGACTTGCCTTCATATAGCTGGGCTGGGATTCATAACCTAATTTTGTTTCTAGCTGAGAAATGAATAGGGAACTAGAGAACTGACAGAAAACCAAATTGACCACCCATAGAGGCAATGGGGAACCTAGTCAGCATTGGAGGTGTGGTTTGGGGACTTGGCCATCTCAGGCTCAAAATTCAACTCTATATGAAGCTTATAAGTCATAGGAGTGGACTATGGAGCCTTTCCCCCACATTAGTGGGGGAAAGAATTCCATATGTATCTCTTTGATTCAACAGTTGGGCAGAGCTGTTTATAGGCAAACTATTTAACACCTTTAAACCTCAGTTTACCCATCTTCAAAATGGGATTATTATATATCTGCCTTTTGAGCTTATTATGAAGATTAAATGAAAAGACACATGAATGGTGCTTGGACCTTATACATATTTGATTGTTTTGGTGGGGGGGGGGGGGGGCTGGTGGTTTGTGTGTCTCAGTGTAAGACAGCCAAGCCCTGTGTAGATGTATTCTTTATGCTACTAATGATAACAGAGGACTTGACTAGTTAACCATAATATGATGCAGTAGAACTGGGTATTTCAAAATGAATGATATAGTCTTTACATCTTTTATATTCAACATGGTAAAGCTATTTATAAACTCTTATTCCTATTTTTTACCTATCAATTTAGTTTCAGATTTCAACATTAAAAAAAAGTCTGTAATTTTAATAATATGATTCCTTGTCAAAAGTACATACTTGATCAGTTATCTGAGTTTTATTTGTATTGACTGTGTTAAAATATGTATAAAAACTGTGCATGATTTCAGTGACCACCTTTCCATGTAAGAGTGTAAAACGCCTAAGTAGATCATGGCTCTCACTTTAGAATCTAGAAGTTTACCTTTCTTCAAATGCCACTCGTAGTTCCTAGACTCTTCTTTTCTCCCTTAAGTTGTAGAAATTACTTAGCAATTACAGACTTTTGTAGATCTTTAGGAGACTGGGATGATCTAAGTTTAGAAATGTGAATGCCAAATAAATAGCAATTAATACAATACTTTCTCTGGAAGGCACAGAAAAGAGGATATTAGAAATGCTTCATGATTGATCTGAGTTTAAAGGTAAACTTTTTCATTGGGTAGTACTTGTAATTTTAAATGAAGTGATTATTTCTTTTGATCTTTATAAAAGCTCATTACTTAAAAATCAAAGGATTTCTTAAAGCATCTTTAGTTGGCTTACATGATAAATTTAAATGATTTTATATATATATATATATTTCTTATACTGTAAGTTGCTTTTCAGTATAAAGATTATGTGGTCAGAGAGAAATATGTATAGATACCCACTTACTCAGCAAAAATTTAGCATCTCAGACGTACCTGTGGCAAACAGAATAAAAGTAATCCTGGTCCTTGTGGAGCAATAATTACAGCATAGTACTAGAAGACGGGCGTTAAGTACTTTAAAAGCAAGGAAAAGCAAGTAAGCAAAAGTATAAAACTACAGAATGAGAGAACTCCTAAGACAACTGTGTTTTTCCTGGGTGCTTTGCTAGGGAATAAAGCCATTGGGAAACGCTTGTGGGAAAGGAGGTGG